AGATATGTATCAGTAGTTCAACCAGCTTTATTACAATGTTTTCTTGGAGAAGGATGATCTCACATCAAACTGTTCTTGCAGTAATGAGGCTTCATATCTGGCTGAGGTGTTCGGTCCATTTTGGATGATCAAAGTTTATCGCTACGAGTTCCAGAAAGCAACCTGTTGGTTCTGCTGCCCTGAAGAAGAAGCAGGTTTGTAATATCAATGGTGATTTGCTTTAGCCTTTAGTTCATCCTGTGGTATTTTTAGAAATAATAAGAAAAGGTTAATTTAATAAATAGCTTTTGACAATTAACTCTATTCAGTTTCAAATCATTGAATCTTTCAACCTTTTCCACATCTGACAAAGGCATCAATTTACTAGCCATCAACGTCTGACCCATTTTAATCCTTTAAAGCATTCCTATTGTAAATACTGTGGAAAGTTTAGTTTTCAGTTTTAGCTCCAGTTGGTGGCTTTTGCATTTTACCTGGGAGTTTTTTAACAACAAAAAAAATCTCCCTGCTTGGGTAGCAATTGGTCTGAGACTAGTGTAGACTGCCATGTGGTAGAAAGCCCCTTTACCCACCTAATTAAGTTGGGTACAAAAGGATGCAAGTAAAGAAAGAAGTGAAATGACCAGCACAGATTATAAATGTAAAGACATGAAAGCGTGAAATGTTAACCACAGAAAAATGTGTTAAAGCCATCAGGTTAACCTTAGAACAAACTTACTGCACGTTAAATGATGAAACCTTTTTGCTTTGATAAGTTTTATGTTAAAATTTTGCTTTTTTCACCCTTATTTTCCAGCTGAAGAGGACTTTATGGTTGATAATGATAACAAAGGCTGTCAGAAAGTTATCCATAATGAGACACAGAAGGTGGCATACAGCTACTTTTTTTTCCATTTTGTCTTCTTCTTGGCCTCACTGTACGTCATGATGACCCTCACCAACTGGTTCAGGTAAGACAGGGAACTTTTAGTATTTTTCCTATTTGGATTATAATGATAATTTCTAAGTAATTCCTTCTCATGCAGCTATGAGTCAGCAGTGTTGGAGACCACCTTCACCCACGGATGCTGGTCCACCTTCTGGGTGAAGATGTCCTCATGTTGGGCCTGCGTGATCCTCTACCTCTGGCTACTGCTGGGCCCTCTCTGCAGATGCCAGAATGAATCCAGACCACGGCGTTCTCGCATCAAACGTCGCTCCGCATCCTGCCGGCATGTCAGTGTCAGTGTTTGATGTTATCAATGGGCGGCCCGCCTGAAGGGAGCCAAACACGAATAGATGAGGACAAGAAGATGGATGAGTTTGAGCTGCCCAAGGTGCTCTGGAGAATGCTAGGGGTCACAGACTTACAAAGCTTTGAGAAAACAAAGTGAGATGGACGTAAGCACTTTGTGCTCTGTCCATGCCAGAAGAACTGGCACTAAATTACACCATAAGCAAGGACCTGATGGTGGTTTTTAAAACTGTCCCAGAAAGAATTGCCAAAGGGATCTGAAGAAGTGGACTGGGTTCTTTTTTTTATTTTATTTTATTCTTTTTTTTTTTTTTGGGGGGTGGGGGGGGGGGGGGGGGGGGGTCAAAGTTAGGAGCAGAAATAATGGGTGCATTTCATTTTTTTTTTACAGTTGAAAAGTAGTAGTTTCTTAAAATATGTATTATTCTCCAATATTTAGACAACCAGCGTGACAAAGGAGAAGGTACTCTAAATTTCTGCTGTAATGTCAGAGCAGGGGATCATATCCCACCGTTTGGAAGATTCCTTGCAGCCATGTGTGTCCTTTGATCTTCAACAAACATTTAATGGTTCTGAGTATGAACAAATATAGAAGGCTGCAACAAAGACAAACCTAGATTGTCTGATCCAACATTGTTTACAATGTTTACAATCTACAATATTTTTAGGAAAAAAATTGTAATCACTGTAAAACCAGGCTGGAAAATTTGTATTATTTTATTACCTTAGAACAAAACAACACTGTTCTTCCTTTCCTGTGCATCATTGCATAACACGCGATTATTTAACGCCCAATGCTTTCTCAAGGAAAATTTTTTCACATGGGACCTACTGCCCACATAACTCACAAATAATCCACAAGTAACCAGTTTGTTAAAAATCCAGGAATGCTTGCTTTTATTTTACCATTGCATGGTTGTTGCAATCCAAGCTTATGTCACAAGATGGCACTTTATCAAACAATGCAAGCCTATTAATAAGAAGAAGTGGAGAAAATAGTAGAAATAAGGGTGGAAATAGGAAACTAGGAGGAATGTCATGATGATAGGTGGCTACAATAGAATCTGCTAAAAGGGCAAACGCGGGACGCTGTCTGAATTGGGTTCTCTAATCTTTCCAGAGACGTTAATTTGATCAAGATCTCGAATCATCGGGAGCCAAGATGAAATGTTCCAATCTAATTTTTATTCTCATCCATTTCTTAGCATTTTAGTTGGTTGCTTTATGATGTTGATATTCTGGTTGAGCTGCCCATTAACCACAGCTGAGGTTGAGTTTTTCAAAACTATATTTACACTAAATCACATTTTATTTTACTGATTTTATGCCTGATAGCAGCAATGAATATGATACTTTCACATTTCTACTTAAAGGGTCAAAATTTCAAAATGAATGCACAGTAACACAAAGTTATTGGTGAAAAAAAGTCTTGTTGCCCCATCATAGAAGAAATAATACGAAGAGAACAAAATTCCCATGTCACCACAGACAGTTCTGTTTGACATATTTGACTTTAAGCCAAAGAAACCTGCTCATGTCTTTAAACAAACCTGAAATGTTTAAAATCCCCGCTTTGTTTTTTCCTATGCAATTTATTTTGAAATGCTCTTGAGATTCACTGCATTTAACTGAGAGGCAGCTAAAGAAACTGAGACATCTATACAGCAGCTGTGATTAAAAGAAACAATAAAATAATATCTGTGTTTGTATTAATATTTCTATAAAATTATGGGATGTTTCTTGTTTACATATATTTTTACAACTGTAAATGAAAAAAAAAATCTTTATGAACAAGACGATTTTAACTACAAGCAGTTTTTTTTAGAAACAAAACAGAACTAAATTACAGATGTATTATTAAACTTTGTTTTTTGCCTCCTGAAATAGTTGCACATAAAATACATTAAGGCTACCCTTATTTGTAAAGAGGAAAAAGCTCCACCTTCTTCATAGAGATGTTCATACACTAGTCGGAACCAAATGGTTTCTCCTTTCCTCGAAGAAAACTGAGCCAAGTGTCTGCAATGATGTTTTTTACCGCTGATGAGCAGGAATCAGGCTCAGATTGAAACCTTTTTCCCCGCACTTGAATTTAGTCATTTATTGTAGATGGAAAGCATTTTGTAAATAAAATGTCTTCTTATGATTGTTGTCTGATTATTTCAAACATTCGTACAACTCACAGTACTTAGCAACATGGAAAATTGTGCTTTGACTTTCAGCATCATGTTCTGTTTCTGAAATTTGCAAAAAATATGAAAGTTGGAGGAAAATCAATCCCCCTTTCAAGTTACATGACGATAATAGAAACTCTATTTGCAGTTTAAAAGGATTACTGACAGATGTGACCCTGGTAGACTAAAATTGTATTCTGATAAGCAGAGATGGCAAAAGTACTCACTTTCCGTACTTGAGTAAAAGTACAGATACTTGTATTAAAAAATACTCTGGTAAAAGTGGAAGTACTGATTAAACTTCTTTACTCAAGTAAAAGTAACAAAGTACAGGCTTGTAAATTTACTTAAAGTATAAAAGTAAAAGTAGAAACCACTTTTTTCATGCCGTTGCCTACATTTTAAATGGATGTCTGCCAATAGGACTAGATCTCTGTTGTGTTCATTTTCAATCATCTCGTCGTCCATACTACTATGCTAACGCCACCGCCACCAAGCTGCAATGATTTGCCGCCAATGAATACGGCCGAATCTGTCGATTCATCTTGTAGTGGTGCGTCAAATGCAACATAGATTCCCATCAGATTAGATTGAATTTGGTATTGATGACGTGAAAAATAATAACGGTAACTCCATTGAAATGATTCAAAACTAAAGTAACGAGCCAATTTTCAAAAATGTAAGGAGTAGAAAGTACAGATATTTGTGTAAAAATGCAAGGAGTAGAAGTAAAAAGTCGCCATAAAAATAAGTAGTAAAGTAAAGTAAAAATATCAGAAAAATCTACTTGAGTACAGTAATGAAGTATTTGTACTTCGTTACTTCCCATCTCTGCTGATAAGGATACCAAATTTTTTCACTACTGATTTTTTTAAACTTTTTTATTTTACTACAACATGTTTAGCCTGGAGTTTAATGTTTTAAATCACTGAAGATATTATGAAGCAGCATTAGTGCCTGGAGTTTCAAATATGCATGTATCCTACTGTAACACTCAAATCACAACAGAGGACAGGATACGTAACTTTGTTTCTTTTAAAGCCGTAACAGAAGAGCATCTTTAATCTGCCATGTCTTCAACATAAAATATTGTAAAGATAGAAATCCACATGAGCGTCTGCCCAGCTGTCCTGTCACTGATAGCATGAAGCTCTGACACAATTAAAAAGGAGAATAATTATTGATAAACTGACAACACAGATGAAGTTGGTAGTGTGCTGTCTTCCTCAAAAACATAAAAAATGTATTTTGTAACTAATTAAATGTATATAAACAACATTTTATGTACAATCATCTTACTGTCCTTGCTGGTTGAACAAAACAAAACGTTTTCGTTCTATGGAGGTACCAACATCCCAGGAAAGTGAAAAATCATGTATGTATATGTGTATCAAAATGTTACCCAGGCTTTGAAAGACTTAACATTTGTAATATAAAATGTATAAACTGTCCCCTGAGGGAATTCTGTCTATAAGGGAATTCTCTTCAGCAATGACTTTAATATTTTCTGGATCTCTTGTTCTTATTTGTCGTTACAACAAGTTCTAACACTTATGGTTGGAGCATAGATTTGTAAAAAGAAGGTATTCGCATTGGCACTCAAAACTTCTTTTATTATTTTGGCAACAAATGACTGCAGAAACACCTTTTGCACAGCTTTGTGAGGTTTGAGAGTAAAAGAGGCAAGGCACATTAAATACCGCAGAATAATTCTGTTTAAACTATGCTTATTTGTATCTCATCAGTGCCAGAAATAAAAAAAAACTGAATATTTAAATATACATATAATGTAAAACATCAAATAACTCAGCTGATTACATGCTGCAGAAAATAATATCACAAATAACAAATAATACAACAAATAAGCAAAAATACATTATGCCGACCATTATGCAAGTGATATACAAGTAATGTGTTCAGATTGATGCTTATTTTATACACAAAAATTCGACGTCAACAAATAAATTCTATTCTTAAATCAAATGAAAGCAAAAAAACATTTTTTTTCATAAATCTCTTCAAAAATAAAGATCTTTCGATAACATTTATTCATTTGAACAGAAATGCAACACAGCTAGTCACACTCGGCAACAGATAGCAACCATTGACATAACAGGTCAAACCAATTTGTGTAAGAATTATGCTGAATAAACAGTTATGAAACATTTTTGGTTTATTATTTGTAGCACTGGAGCTGAAACTTTGCCTTGCTGAAATTTTGCAAACTCTCAAGGCCACAATTAAAAAAAAACATTAAAAAATCTGAAAAAAACTTACATAACTACACTTACACCGGTTAAAAAACCCCCAAAACAAATAGAATTGATCAATTTACCAAAAGGTCAGTCATCTGGACAATCAAAATGACATTAATTAATAAACAGTGTGAGATGTTCTTACAAAAGGGAAGGTTTGTTTTCAGAGCAGAAAAAGTCTGATGAACCCAAGTACAGTTCAGCAAGAAGTAGGTCCAGTTGTAAATAATTGACATCTTTGGTTAATGACTATGTGAAATTTAATATGAAGCACTAAAGTTTATCTTAACATTTAAGTCATTTTTACCTAAACCACTCAGGGATACTGTTCAGATATAACCATATAACTTTAATAATTTACAAAGTGTCCTTAAAGAGAAAGTTCAGAGTTTGTAAAAAGGAGTACCGTACTCTTGTGATTTTATTCCCATTCAATATCCTACTTGTTTAACACACGATTTTGAGAGAGAAGTGAGGAGATTAAATCGAGTCGTCTGTTGATTAATCTTATATCACTTTTTGGCTTCTAGTTATTTATTTGAACTCTTCTTTTTTAATTGTTGAAAAATTATACAAGTAACAGCTTCTATATTTTTAACTGTTTTTGCTTTGTTTTGGATATTTTGTAATCCTAATAGGGTTTAAGTTATACATACAAAATGTTTGAGCTGCTTCTTTATTATTGCATCAACTTTGTGGTATGTGCCAACATTATTCACATCAAAGCCATTACAAACTTCAACAATGTATAAACAATGTTTAAACTGAATCTATTCATACTTTTTATGCGCAAAGAGCATATATTGGCTGTATTTAATCTTGATAATTAACCAGGAGTATTTGGCCCATCAGGTTAGAAGGCATTTTACATCTTTTGTCACCAATCAGTAAAATATATAACTGTGCCTGTATATATAATTTTTAACCTATAAAGAATAAACATTTAGGTACTTTGAAAAGAAAAATGTATGACCACAAATGGAGTTTTTTTATATATTTTTTTTGATTACTTTGTTTCTGTAATCCTCAAAAAAAAAATTATTTTTGCACAATTTTTCTCTTCTTAAAGTAACTGCAGCTTTAATTTTTATAGCAATTTCACAAAAATATCATTAGAAGCCCAACAGCACCAGTGGGGTCATTTGTTTCTCTTATGTCAGTTTGCTCGCTAACAGCTAACAGAGTGGGGCCAAGACTGAGGTGCATTTCTGACATGCTAAAATATCTCCAGCTTTACGAATGTCACAGTGGTTTGTGCATAGAGTGGTTCATAAACCTTACTACTGTTTGGCTTGGAACAGATGCAGAATTGCAGCCATCTTTCAAAATGAGGAATTGTCCCGTGTACTTTGTTGCTATGTAAAGTTGAATTTAATTCACTGCTGTAAGTTCCACAAAACAGTGCCACAAAAAAGTTGCAACAGAAAAAAGAAATCACCCCATAAACATCTGCAATGAGTCCTTGGAAGAAAGTCTGGTAAAATTCATTACAGAGGAATAAACTAAGAGGTTTCTGTGGAATAACATTTATGAAGAAAAGACTTTTCATTTACTGTCCTTCTCTTTGGCATTTGTTTAAGGTGGGCATTGTACACACCTAAAGTGCTTTAAATGGTAAACTGGCCAAGCTTTTAAATAACCATAAAATGTGTTATTTGTATTCATACTGTGGCATGTTTCAAACAAAGATGAAACCTAAAAAGGTCCTCCAGTGATGCCACATTCCGCTCATTGGGCCATAAATTTTAAAGTCCACATTTGAAAAAACATATTTCTGAGCTTTATGCTCACAAACTACACTATTTCTGTAGAAAGTTTTGGCCCTCTGTTGCTGCAGAGCCTCTCCAACGGTCGCAGCAGCTTGTCCTCTCTGGGTTTGTACGGCACCACGTAGCTCTCCTCCTCCAGCAGGATGCGGTTCAGCGTGTGCTCATGGTTAATGTGTCGACGCACCATCAGGACATACTGCTTCCCCACCTGTAGGTCAGGGCAGTCACACAGGTTCGGGACCCACAGAAACTCTCTGTGCTCCAGGCGGAAGCGGTTCCGATAGGTGTGGATGATCTGGACATCATACCGAGTCTCCTCACCTCTGTAGAGCTTCCCAAGAACTCTGCCACGAAACACTGCCAAAGAAGCAAAGAAGAAACAATTTCACTGGAAAGTTGAGTGCATTAAAAGTGTGTTTGTGTGATGAAGTCACACCAGTCAGTATCTTATCTACAGATGACAGCAACTGTACAGTTTTGGACCATTTAACAAATTCTTCCCCAATCACGGTTTAAACATGTGTCCTCACTGTGTTTGGCCTGTCGACTGTAAGTTCTGAGCTTGATTCAAACATCTTTCCAACTTCAATCCAACAGCAATTAGATCTAAGTTCCATCATCTTACTAAAATGTGTTCTTAAAAACTCGAACTTATTTTCTTTTTAGTGATTCCTGTTGACAGGAGCTTGTTGCTTGACTCCCCATGAGAATCTGTTCTGGTTGTCTCACGGTTTTCATTGGTCAGTTTGGTACATTTTTCATATTAACATCCTCAATAAATCTGATGCCAGTTATACCTTAATGTAAGTGTAGATTGATTGCAAGATTCTAGACAAAGTTTCACATTTAAGTTTTTACTGTTTTACAGAGACCGTGTAATTGTGATACCCACCAGAAAAACCCACCAGAAATGTGAACATAGAGTATTCTTAATAGGGGAAACTGTGGATGCAGTGCCATAGGGTTTAAAGTGCAGTTGTACTACATCCTGGCATTTTTGCTTGTTAGCTGAAATATTTTTGTGAAAATCAAAACAATCTCTACTCTTGCGATCTAGTGTGTCAGCAGAGGTCTAATCCAGCCTCTGCAGACATCTGCTGTGATGTTATTACATATTGCATGCAATGCAGCCAAAAGGGTCATCTGTGTATGTGGCTGCTTTCATATGCTTTCCATCTCTATGCTGAGAACAAGTCCTGGACAGGCTTTAGGAATGGGGAGTAGAGTGGGAGGAACTATCAGCTTCCTGTTTAAAAAACCTTTGACTGACGATGCTGTAGTTATGGAAACTGACATTGTCTAAATAATTCGGCAACTGTGTGGTACAGTTTTTGGAAAAAAAAGAAAGAAAAAAAAAGCATAACAGCAATGTATAGAAATAAGAATAATTCTTCAACCACTTGGCATTTCAAGACTTAAGCCTGGTTTACCAGGCCAGATGATAATGCCGATTTTTTCCCTTGATCCTTCCCTGATGGCCCTTAAGATAATTTAATTAGATAATCCTGATGTGTTAACGGTGATCTTGTCTGCTTGGAGGGACGTCCCAACAACTCAAATCACAAATTGGGAAAATCCGAAAAGTTGGACCGTCTTGGAAATGTCCTTGGGGTCCCTGAGTGCAAGGATGAAACCTATTAAATGTTAGACGTAGCCAATAAAATAGTTTCCTGAGAAAAAGAAACTCAACAACTCAGCAGTATAAAATGTTGAGCTCTTGATTGCTAGATCTCCACTTGTTTAGCCAATTGTTTTTTTTCATTAAGATTCTTCTCTGTTACAATTAGTCGACAAAAAATATTGTTTATTTCTCGGGTGGTTAGGTTTTCATCTGCATTGGTTTGACTCTCTGCCTGTTGTTAAAGTAACTGAAAAATGTTATGGTAGGATTTTTGTTGAATTTCTTAGGAAATATGCATATCAAGACTGGCAACAAAGGATGACATTTTGGTGATGATTTGGGTCACTATCCACTATTTTCATCATCATCTGTGGAGTCTCTTAGATTCGAAAATTACCTGAGAATTATAACATCTTTCAATATAAACCAGACATTATGCAATTCATTTCTGAATGCTGCCGGTGGTGAGACCATTTAAAACAAGGCTGTGTAACTTCTAGTCAGAAACAGCTGAGTTTAGCCCCCTGTGGGCAACTAGTAAGGCTGCACTGACGCAAAATTAAACTGTCTGCCTTTGTGTTTTGGAATCTGATAGCTGACCCCTCTGGACCAGTAGATTTAGAAGTCATGGAGTAACTTGTAAAGGCAAAGTCACATTCAGCTTTGTAGATTGAATCCCACATCGGAGAACCAAAAATATGTCTAATCAGGAAAGTGTTTTGTTACCCAACAATTGGATTTAAAAAAAAAATGTACCAAAGCAACTGAGAAAAACTGTCACTGATTTCACTCTTATGGCAGTTTACTTCTTGTAGGATAGTGTCTGTTCCAAAAAATCCTACTAAAATTAAACCAAACTCTACCTTGAAAAGTCCTTACCAAAGTCCTTTTGGCAGTACTGTCTCTGGCGTTCCCCTCTTCCTTTCACTCTCCGACATTTTCCACAATGCTCTAAGGAATCAAACAAGAATTTCAACATTATTATGTTAATGGGAAAATACAATCAAAGCTATTCTCTAGACCTTGTCTAGTGCCTAACATTGTTAGACAAAAGTTTCAACAAAAAGAAGCTATGGATCTATTCCATTCAAACTTTTCTCATATGGCATCCATTCCAGATGTGACATCAGTTCTTAATTGTGCCGCTTAAGGTGGCTTCATGTTGGAGTAGCTCTGCATACTTTTTGTGCAAATGGAAGGAACAACTAATGGCTACTTGTTATGATAAGTAACTGCAACATCCATAGCAAGTAGATTTTTTTACATCCGGGGGCAGTTAATTAAATCTCTAAAGCTGAAATAATACATTAGCCACTTCTGCAAGTACCATCTGAGTTGAAAAGGAGGCACCAAGGATGCATGCAGGATAAAGCAAATGAGAGAGGAACAAAAAACTTAGCCATATATTACATCAATCATTATGGGCAATCTATGATCTTTAGAAACAAGTTAGAAGTACACCATGCCCTAGCTAGGACCAGTCAGAATATAGGTAATGCAGCATTATGCGTTTTACTGAAATGTGGCTGTAGGATCATATCTCAGACTGCAGTGTTTCTCTGACAGATTTCTGACCATTATTCTGAAAAAGATTTCAAAAAGACTGGTATATTCAAAGTAGCTGGTTTGGCAGTGCATGTGAACAACAGATGGTATCATCCAGCCCATGGTACTGGGAAGATTCCTCGCTGCAGCTGAGATATTGTGCTGTTGATGACAGTTGATTTTCCGCCATATTATTTGCCCAAGAGTTCACCAATGTTCTATTACTAAACATTTATATTCAACCTTCTGTCGTTGCTGACACTGCATGAGAGGTAATCAGTTTCATTGTTGTTAAGCTTTAGACATAAGAGCCAAATGCATTTGGGGCAATAACTGTTGATTTTATTCACACCTCACTCTCTGCTACACTGCCATTGTTCCAACAGTTTGTCAGCTGCTGTACAAGAGAAACATCCCTGAATTAAGACCTCCTCTTGAGAAATCGGATAATTAAATTTTCCTAAGGGGTGAAGTATTTTTGAAATGAATTGAATCACAATGTTGTTTTTCTCTGCTCAGAGCATAAGTCACTTTACAAGAGACGACCAGCATTAAAAAGAACTGTAAGAAGATGGTAACAGGAAGCTGTAGGATATTTTTTAGGCTAAGGACTGGGGTGAACTGTGTCAGCCACCTGCAGTTTGCTTATTGCTGTGGAGTTGAAGATACCATCATAAACCTGCTTCAACAAACCCACTGTCATTTAGACAAGGCAGACAGAACTGTGATAATCATGTTCTTTGATTTCTCTAATGCATTTAACTCAATCCAACCCAACATCATTTGTGGGAAGATTCAGGAGACTCAGGTCGAGGCATCAACAGTTGTACTCAGCAGCACAGGGGACAGTACTCTCACCATTCCTTTTTACTCAGTACATCTCTGACTTTCAGTACCAGACAGAGTACTGATACCTGCAAAAATACTCTGATGACTGTGCACTCTTTGGATGCATCCAAGATGGACAAGAAGCTAATTACAAGGAGCTGATGAACCGCTTTGTCGCATGATGATTAAAAAAAATCATCTGATCCTGATTGTCAACAAAACAAGGGAAATGACTGTAGATTTCAGAAGAAACACGAACCAGGTAATTCCTGTTAAAACCATGGGAGAAGAAGTGGAGGTGGTGTAGCAGTATAAATACCTTGGTGTCCACCTGGACAACAAACTAGACTGTACTTTCTAAGGAAGCTTAGGTCCTTTGGTGTTTGCAACAAGATGCTACATATCTTCTAGTCTGTTGTAAAGAGTGTGATCTCTTCCTCCACCATCTGCTGGGGTAACAATATTAGAGCAAATTACCTTAAAAAACCCAACAAACTAATAAAGAACACTTGCTCTGTTCTAGGAACTCCTCTAGAACCTATGGAGATTATTTCACAAAGACGAATTCTTCATAAAGAGAAGAATATTATGAAAAAACAGTGAGCATCATCTAAGGACGTTTTTTAAACAAACAAGGACGTTTCTGCAGTAAGAGGCTTCTCCAGATCCGGTGCAAAACAGAACAATACAGAAGATCCTTCCTGGCTAAAGCTATCAACGCCGAAAACTGATGGGAAAAAACACCTATGGTTTACTGCAACATTTAACTTCCCTTTGGGATTAATAAAGTATTTTGAATTGAATTTGAATTGAATTGAATTCAGGATGGATCTAAACACTATTCTAGTAGCTTCTGCAATCCTTTTCCAACAAATGCAATAATCTTGAAGAGCATTGCATCTTGAAAGGTGCACAGGCCTGTAAATCATTAGGAACAGTAGAAATGCTGTACATACTTCTAGGTGGGGCCTGAGGAAGGAGGTTTCTGTGGTTTTCCTCCCGCTCCAGACGAGTGATGGGCTGACGAGGATGATGCTGGTGGTTATTGGGAAAAGGCTGATGGGAAGGCTTCAAATAATTCAGAACTGGAAAACAGAAAACAAAAAGTTATATGTAAAATGTGACTCTGGAGTGCAGTTTTTAAAGTAATTTCAATACATCATGTAGTATTTTATTCAACAAGAAATGGACAGAATTTATACAGCACTCCTTTCAATCCTTTTCACTAGACTATACATATTCTAGCACTGAGGGACAATAAAAAACACTAGCAACATTCACCCAATCACACTTGTGAATGGATCATGGATTATGAAAGATTACTAGGAAACTTAAGCAGCTTGCCCGAGGTGGATCAAAATGGGGCAGGAGGAACCAAAACCACAATTTTAAGATAAAAAATTACAATTATTTCCACTAAGCCACAGCTTCTCCCTCTAGAATATTACATTTGAATCTGTCATGCAGTCTAAGGGCGAACAGGGATGGTGAACCAGGGCTCAGGAGGTTAGGATTTATCATTTAACTAGTTGGTTGCCGGTTCAAGTCCCTGCTCTGTCAGTCTCCATCATTGTCTTCTTCACCCCCATTGCCTGCCCTTGGTGTTCAGAGTGACTGTTGGAGGCGATGTATGGCGACCTTGCTTCTGTCAGCCTAAGGACAGCTATGGCTACAATGTAGCTTGCTACCATCAGTACATGATTGACTGAATGTATTATAAAGTGCTTTTGGGTCCTTGATAAAGTACATTTCATTTTTGGTATGTTTCCTGGATGGAAAGATGGAAGGTTAATAGATTACTCAATGGTACAGAGTGGGACGACAGTCATGGTATTGGGAAAATATAAATATGAATTTATTTATCTAGTTGTAGCTGAGTTTGGTTAAAGTGTATTTAGGGTTAGGCAATGTTTTTGACTGACAGGCAGAGACAAAACAACTCCTGGATTCTTATTGTATAAATGAACAACTATTGTAGTTTTGGACACATTTCAGAATTTCTTGGAGAAAAACTATTTATAGGCATGACATCCTTTTTTGTCTCATCATATGAGTGTAAATAGAGAAAAACAGAAAAAAATACTTTTATGTCCTAAAAGATACAGAATCTTTAAGGATTATTTCCTGGACTCAGTCACACAGAGCAGCTGCCCTAATCAAAACCATCTCCCTTCATTTTGTGTGACTAAAAGCAGACTGGCGCCACTGCTAAAAGGCATTAAAATCGGCTTCACAAGCCTAAACTGGAAAAGGTTAACCAGCTCTGATATAAACCTAAAGACTTTTTTTTAAATAAAACCGTAAAGGAAGTTTAGAGAAAAAGCTAGCTGTGTCTTCACTGCTTTCTTGGACCTTACTTCTAGCATCTAGCCTCTGGCTTAGATATCACCTTCTCGGTTATAGAAGGTTTTTAAGGGTTTGAAAGTGCAAAATTGATCATTTAATGTTGATATTTGCCAGGTCTGGTGTTCTCAGATCACCGCTGTTTATTTGTTTCTAACATCCACAACGATCAAACATTAAGACATTTGCATTCTACTCTGACAGATTTTTATTATGTTTGATCCTGTTTCTTCTCCTTTCTCTCTCATGCTCGTGTTTTTAAGTTGTTTAAGGATTTAATTTTATGTTTGATAACTAATTTTAGTTTTTTTTCTTTTAATGATAAAATAATTTCCCTTCATTTACTTATTTGTCAAGATTTTGCAAACTAAAGACCATGACAACAGCGTTGAACTTTTTTAGATTTTCTCACATCCCCAAAATCCCAGACTTTAATATATTTTATTGAACTTGGATGCAACAGAGAACCAAAACAGGCAGAATTGTGGATTGGGAAAAAAGTTGTAATTTCCAGTTCCACCAACCACATTTTCTACAATACGAATAAAATAAATCTGGCTAACTACAATTTGTTATCTCCTTAACATCCCTCAATTTCCCTTTTTTAATTGTTTTGCTATATCGAAATGAATACAATAAAAGGCATTAAATTATGAAGTGCTTAAAGGATAAAATAAGAATAAAATCACGAGATAGTAATACTTTATCCAATGAGCCACTGTGTTAGATATAAACCATGAGTTCAAGGCTGTAAGAAAGCTAATTGCTAAGGTCCTGTGTCTGGTTTGTGTTCTAAAAATAAATTTGGCACAGTTAGAAAACCAGTTTTAGTTTAAGATGGTTAATAAAGAACAAACTAATCACTAATAAATACAATTGTATAATTTTAGAACAATGGACAAAAATATGTTGACTTTCCTGAAATAACATGGTTAAGTTATTGCAGTCAAAAGACTACAGTCAAACCTTTTTTTCATAACCTGGTTCCTGATGTTCTGTGTCCAGATGTCATGTTTCAAAACACATGCTGAAAAACTAGACCTTCCTGCTTTAAGTCTGATGTTTAAAGCTTATCGGCCTGGGCATTCTCCTGTGGATATTTGCCCTGACCCTTTTTAATAAACCTTAAAGATTTTCCCTGCAGATGTTTTTTCAGTAAAGGAGTAAAGACCAAAAGAGAGATATTATAGAAGACCTGGGAGCATTTCGGAAAGCTTTAAAGTCAAAAACGATTACTGTTGATTGATTTTAAGATGTAAAGATTAGTATTAAAATGTGGTGTTGCTATGCTGGGAGCATCCTGATTATAAACACCATGAACAGATCTCAGATTTACAGGTTAAGGTGACCTCACTACCTCCTTATCCAAAATTATAAATTATAACCTGAACCCATTCGCTGCCTACTGGTCTGATTTCAATGGTTGCCAGAAAACCTGCCAACAATTAGAGATCAGTTCAGTTTGCCTGTGATCCACCAGCTGGAAAGGATTTTCAAAGAGGCTACTTAGTTTCACTGCAACATTGGATGGAATCCCACCATGGGCTCAATTCCTTGGACCGAGTTCAGACTTCCAGGTGGCTAATTGAGGGACATTGAGGGGGTGAATAAGGATTCAGCACATTTATATTCCAAACTTATCAGGTAGATTAAGCAGCTGCATTCCTCCGCTGCAGCATCAGGGAGGTCAGCATGCAGATCCACAGTTGGGTAAAGAGGGATCACGCACACACTACAGATGTTTTCACTCAATGTACCCAAATAGGCTGTCTAACTTGTTCAATTGCACTAATTTGTACCAATCTAATCTTGGATTAGTGGTTTCCTCTTAAAAATAGCTGCCCACCTGGGACCTCTGGCTTATCCAACCCTGCATAACATATTTTGTTCGAAATACAGCTTTTAATTTTTTGGAGAATGTTTGCAACATTTTCACACATAACTACAAATTACTTAAGAGCAGTAGATATGGATGGATTGGTATCTAGGGCTTTTATTTTCCAGGGATTGCAATGGACTGAATTAAATCTGGCCAGTTTGACACATGAATGTGTTTTGCTCTTAGCCATCCTATAGTAGCTCTAGTTGTACGTTAAACCTGCCCCTCCATCACTACTTATTTATAGCTTATACGTGGTTATGTTTTGGGGTTGCTCTGTATTTAGCTCACTCTATTTCCCATGAACTGACCAGGTTTACATTTTTTGTTGAAAAAATGCCTTCCCATAGTATGATTCTTCCACTCCCATGCTAACCCTAGGGAATAGTGTGCTCATGGTGATGTGCTTTTGCCAGTTCAGATAAAGCTTGAAATGTAGACCAAAAACATATTGCTAAACCTTTCTGATTTTGATTGGTAAAAAAAAAATATTTGAAAACTTTATATCTCTTAACTTTAATTACATTATAACTATTTTATGCAGGGTTATCTCATTAAATCATTATAAATAAATCTTAAGGGTACAAATAACCGTAAAAAGCCCTGTGGATAGATGTTGTAGACATACAACTCCACTGATGTAACTATACACCCATACACAGATAATGTAAATCGTTAAAAGTTGTACAAACACAGTTTTACTATCGCCTGTCTAGTTTTATTCCAGATGCAGTCTTGATTTATAACATAATTTCCTTTAATACCAAAACTTACCTAGTAGGCAGCCATCTTCTCTGTACAATACTCCCGTAACATAAATACAAAACACATCAAAAAAGACACATTGTCCACAAAATGCCTTCTATATTTTGTTGCACATTGTATTCCTTAAGATTAAACACATCTGAGTAGCCATGTATAACACATCTGAAGACATATTTTAAATTTTGTACATAAATTAATTAGAAACCGTCAGTAATCACTTTCTGAGATGTTGAGAGAGTTCAATTTATTGTAAAACGGCATCTCATGGTCATTTAGAGGAACTGGTCTTAGTTTCTCATTTCTTGAGATATTCCTATTTGCTTTATTTTACTTCTAAACAGCTTTTAAAATTTGTAAAATTTTTCTAAAGAAATATTGTTGAAAAGCTCTCAAGGCTTGAAGAGTATCCAGGCCTAATCGGGTTCAAAGTCCAAAGAGTTCAAAATAGGGCTGAAACACCTCGTAGGTTGAATCGCAGTTAATCAGTTATTGAAATAATTAAGTAATTTAGTAATTGATTAATTATTAATTAGACCATACAGACCTATGCCATTAGCTAAGAAAACAGCCACCTCCAGAGCAGTGGTTATGCAGAATTAGTAAAAGAAATATATAAACATTTTGCATTTAAGATGATAAACCCTATTTGTCTGCAAAAGGGCTTTTTCAAGAACCCTTTAAGGTGCAGTTTTAGCATCGCCTGTTTTGAATTTTGTATGAAGTCTTTAAAGAGCCTTTTGTTATCTTATCATTAATTGAAAAATTAATCAACAGATTAATGTGTTAAATAATCCTATGTTGCAGCTGTAATTTATATAAAACTCTGAAAGAAGCGGTGAGAAAATACCTACACCAGTGGGGTCTCCGGGTGGTGTTTGGAGTTGCCTTGGTAGTAGTGGTAGTGGTTGTGGTTGATGTGGTTGGTTGGATTCTGGGGAAGTAGCTGGCTGTTTGGTGAGCCTGCCGCACAGGGCTCCTCCTCCCATGGTAGAGGGCATACTGGTCAGGTGGAAGCCAGTACTCATACTCGATTCCCGAGTTTTTGTCTGTCGACAAAACCTGAACATAGGACAGAAAGATGTGCAACAGCCGAAAAAAAAATAAAAATCAAACAAACCAAGAAGGCATGTCAATATGTCAGTCAATAAATTAGGCAACCTTTCAGTTAACCATCAAGGTAAATAACTACTTGCTTCTTTTAAAACAAATGATCAAGTACATTTTTGCAATTATACAGTACATCTAGGTCTCCAGATGGGCCAAACACATTTAAATGGATGAAGGTGTTGTTTTAGGCCAATTACTCTTTCTCCATCAGCTTCCCTGCTTTCCTTGTGCCATGCTTTCTCCACACCTCCTCTGGTTGATAGGGGGAGTGGCAGCCTAGCGGTGAGGGCATAGATCTTTAAATCCTGAGGTTCTCCCACAGACTGCCACTTTGGGTCCCTGTGCAAAGACCCTAAACCCCACACTGCCCCCCGGGCGCCGCACAATGGCCACCCACTGCTCCCCAAGGGAATGGGTTATATGCAGAGACTTCATTTCATTGCTCTGTACTAGTGAAAGTGTAATGAAAATAAAAAAAGCTGGTGGGAAAAAGAGGTTGCTCTTGTTTGTTTGTCTTGCCATTCTCCAACCATGTCTCTGTATTCATACAGTATCTACTGGTTTTCATTGCTCTTTGCTGGATTCAACTGTTAATATGTAAATTTCCTTGATGGCTGCTCTTTTATTTTATTTAAACTTACCCTATTCTCCACTACCTGCACCTCCAAAAACATAGGACTCAATACTAGCTTTTAGAAAATATCTATTTCAGTAAACCTGATCGTAGCTCTGATGTAGTCTGAGTTTCTGTAATGACATAAATGTACATGATTGTTTTTTTCTTCTCCAAAGTAAGTATTTATCTAATTACCTCTGCAAACATACCTTTTAATATCTGCAGTACAGTTTATAAATGCTATTTTATGAACATTATTTTTTTAAAGCCTTTTATATCTGACTCTTTATTTGCGCTGATAATATATATAAGAAATGTGAGATTCCCCTTACTGTTTTGAGCTAAATGCACTTACAGCAGTTGGCTATTTAAGGCTATGATAAAAAATAAAGAGTGTTTGAAAAAATCAGAAATGAGAACATTTATAGTGGATGTAGATTTATAAAGTCAATCATTCACTGTTCAACTGGTAACATGCAAAAAACAAGCATGAAGATGGGAAAGGATGAGCTCATGTTATTCCAGAGCTAATTTCTCTTCTTATTAAAGTTAAAGCTCAGCATTTTCATTGTTCTCTTCTGAATTAAGCAGACTAAACTTTATGCTAACTTCAGAGTTTAAACATGCTGCTCTCCACATTCTAGTAGATTCTTCTTAATGCCCTTAAGCCCTGCTTTTATCCCACTGATAAAATCAGCTCTTTGTTGTGGTTCAGCAACAAGTTGATGCTACTGTATATCCATTACTCCAGCCGTTGAAAACTATCGCTAGAACATTACATGTTCATTTATCATCCCAATAAATTTTGAATTCAAATAGCTATGCAGTATTATTTATGTTGACTTATATTGGTTTTACCTTTGTATCAAACTGCATGATTCCTGTCAGTCATTTCACTGCTGGTAGATCTGTTTTTACCCACTAAGGGAAAATAAAGAATATTTCTATTCTTCATTTTCTATAATTTTTTTAGCAGGCACTAGTTCTGAATTACTGTATCATTGATAATTTATATAGATAAAATAAAAATTGTGTGACTTGAATGGGTATTGAACCCAAATAAAGAATGGAAGAAAAAAAAACGATCAAAAAAAGTCCCTGACGTACTATATCTTTATCTGATAATCTTCAAGTGAAAACAATTGAAGTCCTCAAATGCCAGTGCTACAAACAACCCGTCTTATCAGTCAAATGATAATTTATCTGTAATGATAAGAAAACCTTAAGACAGAAACTGGGATGCTAAAGTTCAAATTCAGAAACTGACATCATGCCATTTTGAGCCATTTTATATTTATTACCCATCCCATAGTAATTACTTGCTTTGGAATGAAAACAACGTATTTTTTTTCACAGTGTATTTAAAACATTGAAGCAAAGATCCTGTGACAGCTGAATTTATAAATTAGCATGTTTCTCTTTTAAAATTTGCATTGCTCCATCTGAATAAACTGTATCTTTTCTCGAAATTATAGAACAGAACCCTAGTCCTGGATGTATCTCTTCTTAAACACATATGACTTTTCTTAACGACAATGTTTCAGCTCTGCAGAGATTCAGTAAGGAGCCATTCATTTGATTTAAGTATTTTGGGAGAGGGAGTTTAGTTCTTGGGAACTTGGGAAATCCACAAAGTACCTTGAAAGAAAAAAGTTCTACTGAAGCAACAAGGCTTTCTGATAAACGATCTGCTAAAGGAAGTTTGCTTCCTCTTACCATTAGATGGAGGTCTTCTTGGGTTGGTCCTGGAACCTCAAAGCTCTCCCAGGTGTCTGCAGAGCGCCGGTACAGCAGCTTGGTCCCAGCTATGCTGTACTCACCAGGAACACTGATCTTCCAGTTTCCATTGATCACAAACTGGGCTCTGCCATTCTGCAGCGCTGAAAATTTATGATAGTGGTGGAAAAGCTTTGTGTTATTAAACAATTGGAAAAAATGAGTCAATACACATCTTATGTTTGGACTTTTCACACTATATGTGAAGATTCAAAGGCATTACTAATAGTGTGCCTATATAAGGCAGCTCAGTGGCGCAGTTTCCATGACATAAGGTAGAAACAAGTGCTTTAATCTGCTCTCCCAATGCCACCAGATCCTGTCATTATGAGCATCCCTTTCCAAACCACAGTATGTGCCATTCTGGGGTCTGTTTTATTTCTGCCTCATCACAGGATGAGAATAGATAACCTTAGTGATTAAATTACTTGGAAAGAAGATGCTGGGTAAAGAAACCAGGAGGCCTTGTCGATCCCCTCCCTAGTCTCTGGGGAAAAGAGGTAATAATAAGTATTATTGCATCTGAAGGGGACATAGATATGCTGTCCCTTCTTACCAAGATAATTCCTGCTGTTATCGGTGACGCGGATATGAGTCGCTCCTGCTGGGATCATGGTCACTTCATTGTATCCAAAAGGCCCCCCTGGCAAATGGAAAAATAGGGATTTGGTTTAGTTTGCTTCAGCCAATTGCTTTTTAATTACTTAATAAAAACATATTATTTGGGGATTTTTTTCTGCCCAACTAACAATTTGACCTAAAATATAAAATACACTCAGGAATCAAACTCCTTCTTTTCAAATCATTTACGACCATAGTAGCTTAAAACATTTTGGGGAATCGTCCTACCCTAAGAACTCCATCGGTAGTTTCAAACATACCTGTAATAAAATAAATTGAATCCTTTTAGAACAGTGAAGAATTAGATTTTCTACTAACTTAAACAAACAAATGATCTTATTCTATTTAGATAAATACATTTAGTCCTTTAGGGGCTACAGGGAAGTTGTTTAATTAAGTTAATATGTTAACTTATGTTTGGAATCAGGGCCACACCTAAACTACTGTCCTGAGGTTTCATCAGAAGAGGTGCAGAACATCATCAAGAAGATGAAATCCTCCACCTGTCCCCTGGACCCTCTCCCAACATCCCTGGTAAAATCCCATATCACTGCCCTAAGTCCGCTAATCACTGCTGATATGTATAAATAACTCCCTTTAATCAGGCCATGTTCCCCTTTTCTGCCATTATCAGACCATTATTTAAAAAAAACACTCTTGATCCGGAAGTCCAATCCAACTACAGGCCCATCTTAAATCTCCCTTTCATATCAAAAGTACTTGAGAAAGCAATTGCCACTCACCTTTAGGACTACCTCAAACATAATAACCTCTTTGAAAAATTCCAGTCAGGTTTCGGCTCTGCTCACAGCACATAGACAGCCCTAGTCAGAGTCACAAATGACCTCCTAAAATCATCCGATGCTGGCTCTTCATCCCTCCACATATTCCTTGACTTTTCAGCTGCATTTGATACTGTCGACCATGGCAGTCTCTTAAACCTGCTTCACCTCACTACTTGACTAAATGACACTGCTCTCAGTTAGTTGAGATCATATCTCACAAACTGGACAGAATACATCCCATACATTATGTGTGTTGTCCCCCAGGGGTGAGTCCTTGGCCCCATCCTCTTTATCCTTTACCTTACTCCCCTTGGCCAAATCATCAACCACCACAATATTTCAGTCCACTGCTACACTGATGACATATAACTCTATGTAAATGTCATCATCAAAACTCATCACCTGTCTGGACGAGATAAAGGTATGGATCTTCAACTCAATAAAACCGAAGCCATCCTGGTTGTAACTCCTCATCAAACCAAACCAAACCATTATCCATAACCAGCATCACCTTTTCTGATACTAACATCCTGTTCTCATCAACAGTTATTAATCTTGGTGCAAAAAATGACTCCCAACTCACTTTGAAGCCCATTTAAATCCCCTGTACAAGACCTGTTTCTACCACCTCCGTAACATTTCCAAAGTCCATCCTATTCTCTCCTTCCCAGATGCCGAAAAGGTAGTTCTTGCATTTGTCTCCTCCAAACTGGACTATTGCAACACACTTCTCATTGGGATACCTAGAAAGAGTCTGCAGAGGCTTCAGTACATTCAAAACTCTGCAGCTACCAGAAACTCACAACACATGTCATCTCAAGGCACTTTACAGTTCACCAGATCATACAGTCAAATTGATTCAAAGTTTTCTATCTAAGGAAAACCAGTTGATGCAATCCCTCACACTAAGCATGCTTGTAGCGACAGTGGAGAGGAAAAACTCCCTTTTAACGGGAAGAAACCTTCCGCAGAACCAGGCTCAGTGTGAGCGGCCGAGGCCGACTGGAGTTCAAGGAGACAGAAGCAGAGATACAAAAAGCAACTGTAAAAGGTACACAATTGATGTTCAAATACCAGATTGACTCAAATGTGGCTCCAGCCTCCAAGGTTTTCCTTCTGCTGAAATATTTGTCTCATGTTATATGTGCTTTTCTTGTGCTGAGTTTTTTTTATATATATATATATATATATATATATATATATATATATATATATATATATATATATATATATATATATATATATTTGAAACTGTACCCTGTCTGGGATAAAGTGTGAAATATGCTTTTTTCACTCTCCCTCCCTAATGTGGCTCCTATCACAGAGATAAAGCAGCACTATAGGGAACCGCTTCATGGAGTCTCTTCCTCCCAAGCCTTTTGACTTTTCTCCTCAGATAACCTCATCCTTACTTCAGGTTCTTCCATCCTTTAAGTCCTTACTTCAATAAACCATTGAACTCATATCCTTGAGGCATGGTCTCTGTTTGCGAAAAGGAATGTGAATACAACTACACAACTAACAAATTTATAAACGTGGTTGCTTGTCTCATTTCTGTAGGGTCAGAATTTTGTAGATACTACGCTACAGAATAAAAGTCAGACTTTCTGATGCTTCTCAAACATCATGTGTATATGCCTTTTGAAGATGGTGCACACAGTCAGTTTTATACAGATGACTCATCCTCTTTATAATTAAAAAAAGAACCTCAATTTTATGCAGCTAATTCTTGGAGAGCCCTCCCTTCTACTATTTCGTTAAATACTTAAATACGTCAAACCCTATTATTATCATAATCTCTATCAGACAATGTCATCATTTTAACAATGATATATCTTGCTTTACAAAAAATTATAAAATCCAATGCCTTAAGCTTATAAATATTACAGCCAATAATTCATCAGTACTTCCCATAAGCTGTTATTATTTACTGCTAAACAAGGTTTACTGCATATGAATATAAACTGAAAAAAATACATTTAGATTTCCTCACTACATGCCATCAAGACTACGCATTATCCTTGAGCCTTTAGGTGCTAATAAAGTTAAAAATATCTATGTGGCACATAGCCAGAATAGCTGGAAGATCTAGAGTTCCTCCTCCTCCCTTCCTGAAATCTCACCCACAGTCATTTTATATCCAAAGTAGTTCTGGGAATGTAGCCAATCACCTTTGTGTTGCAAAACTGTTTCCATGGTTAATATTCACTCAGTCAGGTAATAACATGATGCTAAATAAGCTTGAATAAATATCTGTTGGGTGTGAAAAGAAAACAAGGAGCAATAATTATGTACTCTGACTTTTTCTGAAAACAGCGTCAGTGGATTCTTCAGAGACAGAATTTCATGATGGTGTGGTATGAATGAATGAGTGAGTGAGTGAGTGAGTGAGTGAGTGAGTGAGTGAGTGAGTGAGTGAGTGAGTGAGTGAGTGAGTGAGTGAGTGAGTGAGTGAGTGAGTGAGTGAGTGAGTGAGTGTCCTACCTGCCTCCAGCCTGCTGCTCTGGTACACACTCTTGTGGTGTAGGCAGGTGGTGTTGTGTCCTCCACACACCATGCAGGCATCCTCTTGCTGCTTCGAACCCAGGATTGAGTCGCATCCAGGCTTCTGCACGATACAAAAGACAGTACAAGACAACCTTTCTTCTAGAAATGAAATTGGGTAATTCTGTCATATATGTTATCCACTCAGCTTTGACCCTCCCAAGGGTCCTCCCTTGATGCTGGAGTCGATTGTCTCTTTGATATCTTATTTCCTCATCTCCTACTTTTAGTTACAGAAGGAGACCTCTTTGCCTCATAAGGGGAAAGAAGTTGGACAGTTTTCTTTTCCTCCGAACAATTCAAATTTCAAAGCTAAAGACAATAAAGGAAAAGCTGGATGGTTTACAGCATGTTGAGTATCTCGCTGCTGGACAGAACACACTGCTTTACGTGTGTAAGAAGGGTCACACAGGAATCATCTGGGATGCTAGGAGTTTCAACATTTTACTTGTATAGAAAATGCTTTACTAGATGCTTCATGGTAATGTTCTTACATTTGTCCAGTTTACCCTGTAAACAGCTGGTTTTAGGTACAGCTAAGAATCCTTTTTATTGTGAAATTTAGAGCACCTTGCAAAAGTATTGAACTTTTTAGTATTTTGTCATATTACAATCAAAGAATTTCATCTGGAAATTTCAGTGATAAACCCACATGACGAAGTTCATAGTTGCAAATTTACGTTTAGTAGATTTTAGGGCACATCTGAGAAGTTTGTTTTAACGTCACAGTCTATCCAAAGCAGCCATGTGTTTCTCAGCCTGATCTAATTTTTGACCTGTATTCCTAAACACCAGCTGGAGGCTGCATCTGCTTCCTGTTTCAGGCTCTTTGCTGCTCTGACCTCTCCCAGTCTGACACCATGGCCCATAAATCCCCTTATTTACACCAAATGCCATACAAACCATGTACAAAAACACAAACACACTGACATATGTAAACACAGATGCACAATAATCCCAGAGTTTTCTTTGTGTGTCCCCTCTGCTGGCATTACAGTAGTACATACTGTACCGCAGAAGCATGTTCATTGCCCATCTTCCCCATCTGTGTGAGGGTGACCTGCTGGGAGTGGACTGTGGACTCTGTGCTCAGCTGAGCTAATGTTCCCTGAAGGCTGCAGTCCACACTGATGAGTGCACTCTGGCCCTTACGCTCAGCGTGGGACTCGCTTTTCCTAAGAGCTCTCGTCAGAGTGGTCAACATCAGTTATACCTCATCTTAGTGCAGCTCAATAGTGAAGACAAACATTTCCCAAACTTAACCTGCACCTAACATTTATTACAAATAGCCTTCTAATTAGGAATAGGAGAGATTTTAAAGTGACTCATAGTTGGAGCCTTTCCAGATCAAACATAGGCATGAAATGTTTATAAAAGGGCCAAACAACCCAACGTGACTAGTTATGTTGACAAGTCAAGTTAAGGGCTCTTTCTAAAGCAAACAACTTGAGTTAGAAAATATGTAATCAATAGATATTAACACAATATCTAAAGCAAACAATAAAACAGAATTAAATACAATTTATTTGAAAACAAACAGTTTTATGGTGAAAGCAAAAGGTTCTCTGATCAAACAGAGCTGGAAACAAGCAGCACTTGTTGTGTGGAGAGTCAGTGCTTAGGTTTCTGTTTTGTTTGCATTTTCATCAATTTAGAGCTTTTTATTATTGTTTAAAGGGTCTTACGATTTCCCTGTCATGGAGTGGTGACCTGTCCAGCTGGCTGCTGGCCAAATGGATGGATTCTATTCATATTCATTTACTTTCTATTTCTTTATTTTTTACAAAAATGTTGAGGCATATAGGCTCATTCCATTGTGTTTATTTTTTTGAGTTATTATTGTGTTCTATATGTTTATTCTCTAGAACAGGGTTCTTCAATTCCCCTTTTAATATTGGTGAATCTGGGTGAACAATGTTTCTTGTCAATTCTTTCCTTGTAGAGATCATCATCATCACACATAAACTTTTGTGTGTAAAAAAAGTATTGTTTAGGTTGTTGTTGTTCATTAAATGAAATAATCAAATAAAAGGCTATAAAAACATGTTAAAAGAGTGGAGGGTTTTTGCTTAAATTTTAGATTCACCAGTTACCAATAACTCTTATTTTTTTAACTACATCTTTAGGATCCAACTCAGTCATATGAATTATTGAAATATTAAGCCATTACTGACTTTAACAGAGCTTTTATGAGCAGAAAAGTAGGATTAAAATAATCCAAGCTAAAATAAAAAAAAAGACTAAAATATTGATAAAGTCTTAATACAATACATGTATGCAATGTCCTAAAGTTAATCTGATAAAAAATATTGCCAGTTCATCCTATTATAAAAGTGAGAACCCTAATAGCCTACTGTATAATGGTCTATACTGACTGTGTGTAACAACTGTCTACAGTACTTTTCCTGCCCAATGGGATGAACTTTCAGTGCTTTATGTACTGGATAAATTAAATGAAAACACATCTAGGGTGTGATCTGGAACAATTCAGCCCAAACTATTCAGAGCAGCTTAGTGTTTATGCATCTCCATGACAGCACAAGTCAGCAATTAATTTTTAATCTTATTTTCTTCACTTTATATCACTGTTTCATATTGGGTTTCCTTAAGTCTAAGTTATCAAAGATTTTTTGGGATTATCCTATCATAAGTATTATCCTGTATTGAGCTGAAGTTTCTTTGAAACTGAAGTTCTTTTTTTTTTAATCCTGTGACTGTGTGGTACAGAAGCTTCTAATGAGAGTCAAAAGAACAAACTAATGGCTAAACCAGTAAAATACAGTTTACACCCTTGTTATTCATTCTATTATTGGACTACCAGGCAAACATGTTAATGTTTCTTTTAACTTACAAAGGGGGATATTTCCTAATCACGTGAAAAGCATTCTAAACTCTAAATGTGTACTTCCTAAACATCAATGAGATGCCTAGACTCTTGGTAACCAGAGTGTTTTCATTTACCAGACAGCGTCCGTTGACACACACTGCTCCAGACTCCTTGTTGCAGGTCGTACCGTCAAGCACATGACCAAAGTTGTAGTAGAAATTGTGTCCCACAGCCAGGCAGCTGAGTTCACAGGGGCTGGAACCTAACAGGGAAAATCCACAGTCAGTAAATCATTAGTTTTTATGAAAAAAGAAAGCTGATGACAGGAAATAGGATGGAGGCAGAATAAAAGCAGAAAATAAAATCACAATAACACCTTCAGCAGCACACATCTGTAAGCTTTCAAGGCTTTCTAGCATTGTTGATAGAAAAAGGACAGGGTCGGTTGAGCTAAATTTTATATTGCTCCTGCAATTCAAGTTTTTAGCATGTGCAATTAAATGCTAAGGAATTAAAGCCATCACATATGTAGAAATGATCAGTGTCTGGAACTGGACATTTATCAATGTAGAAATTAATTTTGATTGTTAAGTGCAGCCTGGGAACTTCTGAATGCAGATAGTAAGGACACTTCTGTTAGGCCATGAAAGTTCTGTTATTTTAGGTTCAAATCATGTTCCAATTTGTGTTCATGTAAACCAAGATGTCCCTAAAGGATGCTACATTTCCAGCTAACCTCCATGAAATGTGGTCCATTTGAAGGAGGTTCCTGACACCAATGGTCTATCATTGAAGGCAGCACACTGCATCTCTCTAAAATCCTCCGATCCAGGGGGACAGTCCTGCAAAAGCAAAGATGCACTGTGAAAATGTTGCACGGAGACCCCCCCTCATTAGAATTGATGTGCTGGAGCTAGAAGATAGTCCAGTGGATTTGCTTTCACAAGGAGCCCATTATGGTTGTTACGATAAGGTTCCGGCTAGTATTTGTACTTTTTGAACCAACTAACTCTAAGGGGACAAGTTTTAAATAGTAGTACAGGACTATTTAGGTGGTTTAGTTACAAAATAAAGAAGATTTTGAGGTGAGTAATACTTTAAATAGAAAATATAACCCTTTTCAAATAGAAACCATCATAATCAATTCATTGATTACCCTCCCCTTCATGCATTTGTCTGTCCAACTTTAATCTTAACTGCTTTTTAAGATATAAAAGCCTGATCTTGGTTGAAGTATCAAATATTTCAAACTTTAATTTTTGACTTTGGTCTGAAAAATCTGCTACATCCTTATGTGTTTTTCTGCTAAAATATTGAAGGTATAACTCACTTATTGAGAGCCGCCTGGACATGCACCAACTCATCTTTTAGTTTTTTTCTTCAATCAATAAAGGACACATGAAATGGCAGTCTAAAAACACCCACACACAGTCAATGATCTCAGACAAAAAAGTAGACTGACAGTTTAATTGTGTGAAATCTCTGCGTTCAATACAAAGCGGTGCAGTGGAAACCTCAGATCACACCTTAAAATACCTCAACTTTTATACCAGCACTGCCTGAACACACCTAACAGACTAATTTGTAAAGCAAACATGGCCATTGTTCTAAACGTTTAATACTGAAGGATAGTTTTTCATTTAGAAAGAAAACATTTCAGAGGACGGGACCTTGGTATTGCAGATCTTGTACTGTCTTGGATCTCCAGCACATGGTCCACCAACTGGGTTTCTAAAACACAGAAACAGGTTTATTCATAAAAATCTTACAAGTGGAGATAAAAAGGTTTATTGACAAGGGATATTTAAGTAAGCATTTTAACCTTGAGTCAAGTAAATGCTTTCATCATTACAAATGGTCAGTTTTAAAGCCTTTACTGGGAGTCATGAATCATCAGACTTAAAGCAGTGTTTCCAACTCTACTGTTGATAAAGAGATTTTTACACTTTTTTTTCTTATCTAAAATAGTTCCTTTTTTAAAATCAATATAACATTTTTTGATATGTGGTCTTTTGATTATGTATTTAAAAATATTTCCAGATTTAAACAGTCCATCTTCGACTACCAGTTTATGTAATAAAAAAAAATGGGCATGGGATCTGAGATTTAAAATGGTGCTGAATCTTATCAAATTCAAACGAGGTCAATATCATAAAATGTAGCCCTGATCCATGTCAAAAATTGAATTCCTCCCTTCTATTCTATTCTATTCTGCTGAAAAAACTTTTGTTTGAGTTTTCTTTTTGCCTGAATAAAAGAAATTTCCACCAACCTTTCTCATATTTTAAAATTAAAATGGCAAGAAACGCTAAATCTGGCAAGCTGTAAAGGGCACAAATATTTTAACAGTGATGTGATGAAAAAAAGAATTGTGAAAATTTATTGGACAATTTTAAGGTCAGAAAAGGCAAAGATTGACCTGAAAGCGAAGAGAAAAGTATGTTTAAATATCAAGGAGACATTAAGAAAATGTACCAAGTTTAAAGCTTATCCTTAAAACCCTTTAAGTTAGCCTTAAACATACAGCTGTGAGTTTACTGTTTCTAAGTGAAAGATGTTTTTTTAGAATATTTAAAGTTTTTGGAAACTCCAACTCTAAAAAAAAACGCCTCCTGAAGTACCACACTTAACAGAACAGATCATTTAATGTTCCTCTCACAATTTCACATCATGCTCTGTGTTTCAGACACCTTTGTACCTGGTGATGCAGGTGCGAGTCCGTACAGAGGCTCCACCCCCACAGCTGCGCGAGCAAACAGACCAGCTGCTCCATGCTGCCCACTCATTTCTATAATGCAGCTGCCGTCGTACACGTCCTGGATGTCCTGATATAGTGTCACTGGAAGGACCCCACACAGAACTCCAATAGGCCTGAAACAGTGAATGAACACAACTTTACTGCTTTAGACATTAAGTTAACAGAAAATGTCATCCCCCTAGACCAAATGAAAATATCTTTACAAATTGTATGACTTTTCTTTACGTTTAACATGCATGTTGAAGGACTGAAGTTATTTAGCCTATATTTACAATTAAGTGAAAAGGTAGGTTAGTAATAGTTTCATTCCTAGATACATACTAAGGCTTATATATAAAAACTAAAATTGTGCATGTGTTAAGAAAAAACTTTCTATTGGATTAACCACAAGCTTGCAAAAAAATATTTTTTTCTTCTTCTGGTAATAGTCTGATCCAGTACAGGTTGTCATAATATAATAGGAGTTATTTTATCAATGTTTTTTTTATTACATATAAGTTCATATGGTGCACTGCAAAGGCATTTCCATCCTGTAAATTCCCTAACATGTGCTCACTTTACTTTAAGTAACCTATTTTGGGTTTTTTTTGAAAGATGGAGACAAACAAAGTGTTAAAAAGGGAAAGCAAATGATACATGTTCTTTTTTTTATTATTTAAGCCAATAAAAACTGTGATTGCTTAGTTTATCTGGTATTCAGCCAGTTTTCACCCAGGTAAATCAATGCCATAAAACTACCTTCAGAATTTCCCCTAATTAGTTAACACTCAAAATGTGTCAACGAGCTCCAAAGGTGGAATAATCTGTTAACAATGGACATTTATTGAAGATATATTTGCAGTTCAATATAAGCCATATAGTGGGTCACACTTGCAGCACCGTGCTGGGGGGGAATGGTTTTCTTCTTCAGCTTAAAGACAGAAGCGCTCCACTGCCTCATTTAAGGATATATTTCATTATTTAAATCTAAGAAAAGGAGACAGGGCAAATATTATCTTCACTGGAGACTTCAACAGTCCAAAGCACTGTTGGGCAAAATTAAAACAAAGCCAATAAACAGCTAAGAATGTCACAGGAGCTTTGCAAAAATATTTTTTGAACAGGAAAAAGGTCAAACGTGTCAAATACTTTTTTCATGAGTGAGCAACATATTTTAAAACAATTAAACAAAAACCTGAAAATACCCATGTTTTTTTTTCTGTTCACTAACAGCTGCAGAAACCACAGAACTTCAAAATCACTCATCAGTATCAGTCTGCGGTGACATTCTGTATGTTTAAAGCTGTGATGACATAAACAGCAATTGCCAGCAGCCTGCTATGACAAAATGAGGAAATAATACTATGGCCAGATTGACGGGATGTCACTTTGCATTAGACAAATGGTACTGATGAACCTCCATATGACTCCTAACAAAGCTTGCTTTATGTTATGCCGGGAATCTAAGACAGATAAATCTATTTAAAGCATAGATGGGACTAACAATAACAAAGCAGCCCTGTGAGGTTGATGGATCAGGATCAGCAGAGCAAAACAATAAAAGTGATTAGGAGGAATCTCAGTAGTTCTCCTCAAACACATTCCAGAGTTTTTGCCCTGGAGGAGGAGTGAAACTGGCAGCCATCCCAACAGATTCTCATACAGGAGCTAGTGTAAGAACAGACACATTTAACTCGTTGCACAGTTTTTACAAGGACATCTACAGCTCAGGTTCTTTCAAGCCTTTATTGAAAGGCTTCTGAGTCAGGTATGCAGAAAAAAAAACAGACAATATTAAAGGTATAGAGGACGATCTTTTACTTCTCGGTGAAACATCTAAATAATTGGTCCTCCTAATTGTCAATCATTTGGTGATATGTTTACATGAGGCCGTCTTGAGTGCTCATCCAATTACCTATCTTTTTCTGCGCATGCGTAGCCGTGGCACGCTATGGTTTCAGACAGCCATTCAAGCTCAACTTTCACCCCGCAGATCTTGAAAATGGTCGAGGGTTGTAAGAGGAAAAAGTGGCTACGAAGTGTATGAGAAGAAAAGAAAGGCCTCAGAAGAGGCAGATATATCCCAGAATGCTTTCGTGGAGAGCTCTCCTCGCAAAGTATTATGAGATTTGCTGTCACAGCGGCCCACTGTTGCCAGAGGCTGTCGCTACCAGACTTTGGCGACTAATAACAAAGATGGCGCAGGCACAGCGTAGTAGAGATCAAGTTACGTGACCTACGGAGCAACAAGCAGTGATCATCTGTCCACATAGTCAGGTAACCTAGTTTTCTATAAAGTCCACTATATAGTTCCCGCCCTATATAGTTATTGACGGATTTAGGGGTTAGGGTGGACGTTCGGGCACAGTAACCTTGTATGAGCTATGAAAGCAGAAACTTTTAGACAGAGCATGCACGAGGAGAAATGGGGTCGTGCATGCTCTCGCACGCAATTTTTTAAAGTGGAGAGGGCGGGTCCTTTAAAAAAATCTGCAAAAATCCTCCACAATATCTTTAAAAAATTAATACAAAACAAAAAATCTTTAAAACCAACAATGTGCAAACTTAAAAAAAACGTTATTGAGCAAAATCCAAATCCTAACCCCCATGACACCAGAGGAAAAAAAAAAAAAAAATTGCAGCTGTATTACGTCTCCGAACTATTATTTATTATTGACTAAATCTAAGGTTGATTGATATTATCAATCGACTAACAAGACATTTCCTTAGAAAGCTGATCTTTCAATTGTATCAGCAGGTTTTTTCCATTAACATGATGGCTAAATATTTTTGCTCAATATGCTGCAAAAAATAAGTAGTACATAAATGTATTTTAACTAATTATTGTGATACCTGTATTTAATAATTACTAAATAGACAAGAAATGCTTTCTTGTGAATTATTCAATAGGTTACTGGGTAAAGCAAAATAACAAAATATGTAAAACCCTTATGATGACCAGAGTAAAGAGATATTAAGTTATTGTTATCGACAGAGACATGCTGTCAGACTATTACCACTGGACAGTAAGAATGATATATACATCTCTGTTCTAGCATAATTCAGCAATCAGTGCTAGGAGAGGCTTTAAGCTGTTTGCAGCACCTTTAAATTGGTGGTTTGGTTAAAGACAGCTTTATTTCACCTGCATCAGTGAAGTGCATTAACTCATTAAGCTTTCCCCATCTACTGTGCTTATAGATGGAATGTCTTCCTTTATCACGTTTTGCGTAATGCCGGCAACTTATCTATAATCGCACAGTCTCTTTCCAATACAGCAGAGAAATTATGCTGCTTTGTCGTGCAGCATGGCTAAATGGGGGCTATTTAGATGATACCTTAAGGTTTTTATATATTGAAAGATAGCACAGCATAAAGTTAATTCTACATACTTATCACCATAAATAGTGTAAATAATCCCAGACCGGATTCTGAATCTATTTAAGTTTCTGCTCAGTCCAGGCAGTTACGCCCTGAACTGGAAAGTGTATAATTTATTAGGATTTTATTTATTTTTTTTGTCTGGAGTGGCCAACTTTCTATCTTTGATTTGTCAATCGTACAATTCAACCAATCCAAGCAAAAAGCCATGTTGACCTGCTACCCAACTACAGACAGAGAGGGGTGGGTCACTGAGGCGGCTATGGTCGCTGTAGCTAGTGCAACACAAATATGCAGATTCATTTCAAAAGTGCTGATGGCGCAAACAAGAGTGAGCAGGAAGCAGGCGATTCATTTTGTCTGAGGCTAAGATTTTAATTCAACAATAAAGTAAACATTTCTTCCTGGTGAGTAGTTACCGTAGCCAGAAGCAAATAGTGTAAATCAGGCAGATGGAAGAAATGTGAATGGTGACGTATTGACATTACAATTATAACAACTTCCAACAAAAAACCTAATGGTATGTATTTTTACCTCTTTTTCTGAGCCCCCACAAACATTTACAAACCTGGGTTTCTTACAGGCAGAGAATAATACTTTGATCTGATCCATATGCTCCCTAGCTTAATCAGTCAGTCTTTATTAGTATGTCACCATAAAATCAGTTTTCTGGGAGACACCCGCTCTAAATACATGTATTTCACACAGACATATACTAATAACACGTTAAAAAAAATTAAGAACTAGAATCCTTAGAGGAAACTGAAAATCAAGAACACATGTGCATAGATTTTAGTATGTAGCATTTACACAAAATGCAGCTGGTGTTATAACAATTTATGAACTGGGCTGGAGGTGTAGTGAATTTTTAGGATGTTTAGTCTCTGCCAGCGGGGCGATTATTGCCTTTGCAGCTTTGGGAAATAAGCAATTTTTTTGGCATATTTGTTTCTGAAACAATAATCTGGAATTGATTTCCTAATAAAAGTGTGACAAAGAGTGCATTGCCCAGTGGTGCTGCTAAAGTTACCTCTCCTGGTTTGAATGACTATTTCAGCCTGACATCAGTGCTCATGTTCATCAATTTATATATTTAGATTTATTATTTTTTTATTTATTACACAATTTATTTCTAACTGTTTGGTTTTTGGTATTCTAGTGATATATTTTATTCTTTCAGCACTGCAGGAGGAGTCATAGAGCCACTCTTTGTTGAGAAAGTGTTTCCCCCTGAAAACAATTTCATTTGTTCTGCAGCTGGGTCTGTTTCTCTAGAATGCCTTTGCTCAGGCATTACTTCTCTTGCAAATAAAGGAGACCGCTTTGTCTTCAGGAATGATCAGCAGCGCCCTCTAGCTGATGGCTTAACATTATTGGCTGATTGATTGATTGAAATTTACTCGTTACATCAGCTCAAATAGTCAAAGGAGAAGAATGTGCCAAAGGAAGAAAAAGGTGCATGGGATATATACAGTGCGTCCACATATAACAGCTGAAAGGAATTCTTTCTAAGCAGACAAAATCAATCAATGCAAAATTCAACCTAATAAACCACCAACTGACAATTAATCAGAAGTTGGTTTTTTGTTTTTATCCCTGGAATGCATAAAACATTCTTATTTTAAACAGAAATAGCGGTGGAAGTTTCATGCTTTGGAGGTTTTCTTCAGCAGGAATGCTGGTCCAATTTCAGAGGATGACTGGAATTAAATACAGGTGAAACAAATATAGGCTAAGAAAGACTAGGAACTGTGGTGGAGGATCATGTTTTCCATTTTTTCTTATTTGCAACTGATTTTCCTTAGATAGAAAACTTTTAATCAATTTGACTGAATGATCTGGTGAATTGTAAACTGCCTTGAGATGACATGTGTTGTGAATTAGCGCTATATAAATAAAATGAATTGAAATTGAATTGACTTCCTAGCTCTGAAAACCAAGCATGTCACCAAAATCGCTTTTGGCTCCTCCCTCTGGATTATCCTGCCTACATTCATCTGCTCGGTTCTGATCAACTGCCTATCCTCCGACCACCAATACATCAGTGTCTTAAACTGATTTTGCGGCGACCGCTGCGCTGCATTGGCAACCGGCCAGCTGGAATAATTCTCACCCTCTGGATTCGGACTAAACTATAAAACCAGGGGTCCCCTCCATAGCACAATATCAACATAGTTTTGCAATTGAAATGTAAATGGAACTACTGATTCTTTTTAAAAAGGAGAGGCACCAACTCCTCTACCACCTTAGGTTAACAAGTTTTCCAACCTGTATAAGGTAACAGCCACTTGTATCTGGAATTTTGATGTTTTGCTAACGATTCATGTCTCATGACAATATAAGGAGCTGAAAATTCTTGAACAGTAAAAGAAGTAATTCACAAAATGAAAAAATAAACAGTCTCATCCTTACAGAAAATACCAAAGAAATGACACAGTCTTATTCCATGTAAACATCATGTTACCAAGACAAAATGATTAAAAACTCCTCTCCGAGGGACAAATTGTCAACCAGAAGTCTAATACTGGACTCGGTTTAAGCCCCTCTACATAAAAAGGTCTGTGCTTGAATATGCAAACAGAATTACATTTGCAAAAGAAAAAGACACTTTGCTTTCAAAGGCTTAGCTATGTCAATTCCTGATGTGGTTATAATGGAGGAATGTGAGCCATTGATAGCTTTAACAAATTATTTGGTCTTTTTTTAGAAAATCTGAATAACCACACTGTTCCACCCTGAAAAGGCAGTTCTCTAGGCGAATGTGATTCAGTTGTTTATAAATACTTCCAGTACTCCTAAGGAAATGGACAATGTCAACAAGGGGGTGTTTTAAAGCACTCCTTCCACCACTCATCTGTATTTGATCTTGGTCCATAATTTCTCAATCAGCCCAGCCTAGGATAGGCCATGCTTTATTTTCCATTCAACTTCAATTCATTGGGTCCAACTTTTTAGTAGCTTTTTTAATATTATTGCTTTAAGTTATCATAAAATTTAAAATTTTCACAAATCTATGCCAAACAAAACTCTTTCACAGTAAAATCAGGTTAGTTTAACTGACAGACTTTAAAATGAATGTTAAAGCCAAGAAGTAAGAGCCAAACTAATTGAGGCTCTTTGACTTTGTGACTCATTGTGCACACACACACTGAGCTGAAACCAACCTTTGCAACTACTCCCTGTAATTCCTTGGCAGGGTCTCTTGAGGTTGCCCTCATTAGTGGTACTCCAGTACAAATTAGCGTTGATAATGGTTGAAGATGGGGGCAGCTGGCCTTCTAGATTAATGAAAGCAACCCCTGACCTTAACAGTTCACTCCTTCCCCCTCCTCAGAATAGAGAGAGAAAAAAAATATATGAAGTGAACTGTAGGGAAAAAACAAGAGTAAAGGTAAATGCTTCAGATCAGCATTCTCCCGGACTTAGACTATGCTGGTCTTCAGAGTCATGAAGACACCTAAACAGCTGGAGCAGACTTACATTTTTTATACATGTATCATAAAATTACAGATGTTTTTTTTAAATAATTCATTCAAGTGTGTTTGATATGTTGTCACTTTAGAAGATCACTGTTTCTATTCCTGGAATATTTTATATATCAATGAAGGCACCCCACAATTAATTCTCCTTTATTCATTTTTCAGAAACGGTAAACTATAAAGTTAGTAAGTGGAAGGTCCTAAATAACTATTTTTACTAACATCCCTGCAGGAAAATTATCTAATTTTATGAAATATAATCATTTTTATGTAAAGCAATGGCTTATTATTTACACATTATTAACTCCTGTTTTCCTGGAGTATGAATTTGGCATAACCAAGCAGCACGTTTCTCTATGAAAGTCTTCAATAGGCGAAAGACAAAAAAAACATTCAGGTAGGTTTGGAAGCCAAATGTTGATTTAAGTCAGGAAATGGTTAATTAACCCAGTGACATAAACCTGTCCACAGAAAAATTGTATTTCATATAAAACAACAAACTGAAAAACAGGACTGGAAAAAGAACCACAATTCTCATGTCTCCAGATAAAGTGATGAGAACAGTAAAGTTTGTAAAAATCCTGAACTCTCTAGTCCAAAAGCTGCAGCAAATGGCATCTCATGATCGCAAAAACTTAATGAAAATGTTTACATGCCCATTGGTTTGGAGGCACAAGGAAGGCCATTTCTTTTCCATCTTCGCTTCTTCACTCTGTACACCTCAATTTTATGAAGTGTAAAAAACAATGCCTAACGGTTGCCCTGGTGGTGCAACGGTTTGCACTATGTAATTCAGCAACTAATGCCTATTTGCATATTTGTTATCAAGGTTTTATTATCCAATCAATCTAATTTCAAGTCAGCAACAATGCAGTTATTGTTTTTGATTTACAAAAACATTAAATGTCTTTTTATTGCATCAATTCAAAATGTATAAAAGAGTTAAAAAATATTTAACTGTTTCAGCTTTATATTAAACCAGTATCTTGATTGCTAGCAAGAGAGCTGCATAAATGGGACACCATGTGTGGAAAGACATGTTCCAGCTCAGGCATGTCCAACTTTTAGAGTAAGTTAAAAGAAAATTAAAGGATTGTAAAAAGGACACAAAGACAGACAGAGAGAGATATCAAAGCCTCAGCATAGAAAACTAAACATCACAGAGTAAGTTATAAGAAAAAGACAGTGACTGTGATTAAAATGTCAGAGAATATTGGGGTTTCCATCTTAAAATGGGTAATTCAACTCATAAGAATGAAACAATTTAATCAGGATTAAGGAGGGTTGGAAAAGTGGCAACTGATCAAAGGGACTGAAGAATCATAACTGTGGTTTCAACAAGGGTTCAGTATAGTCTGCTGTATCTACAGTACAACACAGAATGACACATTAGGAAGTTAGATGTAATCCCCGGGACTACTTCAAACAGTTACCTTAGTAGATTATAAAATCATTAGATTAGACACAAAGAGAATTGTCATCCAATTTGATGTGTAGGATATCAACAAGTTCTCATGAAGTTTGTTTGATTCCTTCTAAGATGATGACATTTAAAGAACAAGAAAACAGAATAAAATATTTTTTTTTATATAATGCTACTTACAGCAATCGATGCCTAGAATTTGTTCAGAATGATGAATGTCACTGATGAATCTTATTTAATAGGCTGAGTAACTAGTAAACACATTGGTTGTGTTTGGTTCATGTCTGAAGTGACGTAAAGCATTATTATCAGACAGGCTGAACAGAAACTCTACTCTACTGTGTGAAAGTTTTTGTTGGAGGTCATTTCAAGGGAACTTGAGGTGACGAGCTATTCTCAGGGTTAGTTTAGCAGGAGTTATTTTTGATCAAGGCTGTGCAGAGAGGGATGTTGATGTGGGAGGGCTGGACTTACGCTCTGCGGGGAGGCGAGGGAGCCGGGAGCAGCCAGCAGCAAAACAAAGGTCAGGACCCAGTTTAGAGTCAGCTTCCTGAAGACAAAGAGAGAGAGAAACCAGTAAACAGATTGTTAGTGATGTTCTTCTTGTTCTTTTTGTATTTAAATACCTGCAAAAAACAAATCCTTTGATAGTTTGTATCTTTGTTAGGTTTGATTTCTGTTAAATAGTGATCCTTCCAGTTTCCATACTCTTCGTCAGAAGCGCTAAAAGAACATCAACACCTCCTCTCTCATTCCTGGTCCAACCTTTACACTGTCATTTAAGTGGATAGTAAAAAGTAATATCTACATCAGTCTATTTTTTTTATTAATTACAAAACTAACGCAGGAAAGGAAACTCAAACTCTACATTTTGCAACTGTTTGGATCTATTTGCCATAGTTCTGCACAATATTCAACAAAATAAATGGAACTAAAGCATGCAAACCCTAACATATCTGTAACATCCTGCAGAAACGAGCTATTTGTTGTGGCTCAGTTTTAATGTATCATCTCTTCAGATGCAGTAAAGTCATAATAGAATTAGAAAAGATTTGACTTGGCCAAGTGTTACATCAAATGTTAAGAAACAACCTCCAACATGAGGAATCAGAGTGCAGACATGTTTAAAAATTCTTCTGTTATGCTGCAATCAATAAAGGAAAGTAAAAATAGGATTTAACTCTAAGACACAAACTGTTTTTAAATATAACTGATTTATCTGAAGTGAAAAGCACCAATGGAACTTGAAAAGTAAAGAAATTAATTTTTGTCTGGAGACCATATTTTCTCATTCAATCTACACATTGAATACATAAGTACATACATACATTCATAGTCAGGTTTTTCTTCTATATGTATGCATCATTTCACGTTTAAAAGTTGGAAAACAAGGAGCTGCAACGATGAGCACAGTCAGTGAAAATGTAGCGTGTAACCTTCATGAACTTACATAATTTTCAGGAAAAATGGCGGATCTTATGGTTTTCATGATCTTATACCTATTATACCCTAAAAGGCAAAGCTGAATATTGTGTTTGCAAAAACCTGAATTGCAAAGCTGTAAAAATGTAGTTTGACAGAAAAAGTTTATTCTCTTCAGTTATCTGTAAAAAAAAAATTGGGAGGCAGGACTCAGCTGTTCTCACATAAACCCAGGAAACCAGATTTCAGTTTTACTAATTTCAAGCCCAAAAATACTTTTTTTTTTTTTGCAAATGACGGGTTCTTTTAAATGCCATAGAAATATCAGACTTATTGTGGTTGTTACAGAAACTAATATGCAACTTTTTCAACAAAAAAAAAATTAAATGAAAGTTTGAAAATCTCTGGTATAGCACATTGATTTAAAATGACTTATTTTAACGGAATAGTATAGTAAAAAAAATCGTACGCAGTTAAAATCTTTTGAATCGTTTTGAAGGATGCCGAGGTATCTTTTCTGGTCCGCTTCTGTTTCTGGCTTCCTGGGAATTTGCATATGTTTGGCTCAGGAGCCAGGAAGTAAACACAGGCTTCACATCGAAAGCAAAGTAGTTCTGCATCAATTTGAAAGAAACAAAAATGGACTAAGATGCTGTTGATGGAAAGGACTGTTTGTCTTTAGGAAATGTTTTTTCATCCGGGCTAACAAATTAATTTTACAATTAATTCCTTACCTATTGCTCCTAATCTAACTGTTGGGTTGCTCATCATTTGAAAAAGAAAATAACCTTGTTGCTGTATAAATGGCTGAGTCTGTTAGAAAAATAACTTATTTTATTTAGGTTGTGTTATATTTCTGCACCAATACTGACTCAAATGCACTTAGTGTTGCACTAACACTGACCAAATAGGATCTCCATGGAGCTCTGTGTCGGATGTGTGTTTGCTCTAAAGCCTGCCTCATCTCTGCTCTGTCCTCCAGGCAAACACTGCGAGGCAACGGATTCTGTCTGACTCACTGAGAGGCAAATGTTGTTTCTGAAAAGTGATTCTAGGAAATCCCCTCACTTTGATCGTTTCCAGGGGCGAGTCCGGTGACAGCTGCAGCGTGTCAAGCATTTAAGAGTGTCCATTGAGATGGCGCATTGCTTTTTGTTATCGTTATATAGAGCAACTATGCATGAACAGATTGCCGTTTAAAAGTTAGCAACCCAATCATCTACCCTCCTTTTGTTTCATCCTGCTTACAGCCTCGCTGCCATCCATCTCTCTCAGCCTCTTTTGTCTCTTTTTTTATCTCAATTCAGGGCCATAAACACAGAGCTGACGCAAAGCTTTTGGAGTTGGCTTTTGGCTCAGTCGTAGGTCAGTAAGTTGCCCTGTCCAATTAAACGATACACATCTCGCTCACACTTGGCTTAGCAGCCTCTCCCCTCAGAGCCCTCAGCTCTTGTCCTGGCCTTACATGGGGGAGGTCTTATCAGAGGAACAAAGAGGGTCACACTGACTGAAAGAGGCAAACAGAACATAAATAAGGACTTAAGAGGCCTTTTCATTTAGGCCACGCATTTATTTGATCTTCACTATCTCATCCCTGGAGCTTTTGTCTGACCTTTGGATGACTCAAGTTTTGATACTTTTCATAGAAGAAAGCAATAAATAGAGAAACTAAGTTTTTTTTAATGCTTTTCATCCATTGGTAGGTCTTATTGCAATCATACACTGATTTGCACAAGCGAAATTATTGATGAGGAGATCTTTGTTGTTTTTCTTTTTATTTTCATTCAATGCATCAACACTGAAAACACTGTAAATGCATTAACAGGTGACCAGTTCTGTGATGATTTAAGATTTTAAGATTTAAGTAAAAATCAGATGAACAGGTTGGAACTTATGCTTTGATGCATTAATAGAGATTATCCTGTAATCCAGTTTTGCTTGATTCATGACCTCTACTTCTACCAGGGAACCTTTCTGTTATGGATAAAGCTTGTAGCATTTAATGTAAAATAAAGCAACATTTATACAAATCTATGTGTGAGATAAGATCTAAAAAGAAATAGGCAGTGAAGCTGTGTCAGGAAAAGTCTTATTAGTGCCTCTTTATTCTGCTACATTCACTTCAGTAAAATCTGAAATGTTTACTAGTTAATAAGCAAATAATTGATATAAAAAGGGCCAAAAACCAATTATTAGTCTTCCCTAAAGAATTTGTGTGACTATTGGATCCTAATACATGAATTAAAACCTGATTAGAATTTCAAACATGAAGATTTTGGATCACCATCTGTCGACTTTAACAAGAAGCACCAACTTTCAAGTTTACAAAGCAAGGAGGAAGACGTCAGGTGAAATTACCAGAAAGTAGCAGCAAACCCAAAGATTTAAAACAGCTCAGTCTGCCACTGTGGTAAATTACACGTAGCGATAAAAAAAAACATTCTCATATTTACAAATATGACAGGATTCAGTTACAACAACATTTAGGAAGAAATTAGTCTGTTAAGGTTTTGCCCTCAGATACAAATCAGAAGCTTACAAACTGGCAGTCTGCACTAAAGCATAGTGATGATCCCTGTGTATGTTAGCTCTTTGCTTTGAAAAAAATGTAAGAACATTTCTTTTAATGTTTTCTATTTCTTCTATCTCATCATTCTGGCCTATAAAATGAAAAGGTGCTTTGGTAACTCTAAAATAGGGAAGATTTAAATACATAAAGCTTTAAAAGACTTTCTGTGCAGTATATGTAACTGTCTTGTGCATTTAACCATCTACTGTGAGCTCCATCAGATCTTTTTAAAAGGTTAATTTTTTTTTAACCAAAATTTTCTCGAGTTTTACAGCCTCTGTGTTTAAACATAATAATACCCATAAAAAAATAATACAAACATTCATAATGACAGGTTCTCACTTTAGTCTCTTATTAGCAAGATACCATCAATAGCCTAATGAAATCCAAATATTTAAGTAATTTATCGGAGTTTCTGTTTAGGGCTTAGGTTTCCTTTGGAAACACACCAGACCTGGGTTCTAACTGTTTGGCCCCGTCACTGAGGCGGCCCTTACAGAGGTCAGCAAGGGCCAGGCTGCCTCCTCTTGCTCTCATTAAAACTATAGCAATGTGAATAACTGCAGGGCAGGGAGAGTGAAATGTCTTTAATCAACGCGAGACTACCTGTTTATTTTGACTGACGTCGGTCGCTTGTTTGACAGGGTTAGAAGAGGGGAACTCAACTCTGACTGCAAAATGTCCTGCTTAGACAAATACTATGCAGTGCAAGAAAAGAAGTGTCATCATTTAAAAAAATAATAAAATAAAATATGCAAATGCAATAATATAAGACTAAAAACTGTAGGTAGGTTAATATTTTTAGAAAACTGAATCTCTTGTTGTAACTATTTGTGTTCTCCATCACTCAGCAAGTTATTTGTGTCCTATCTGTAATGATTTATAAATAATTTTACCAGGTACCAAAAATTCCTGCAACACTGTGGTGGGGGCTCTTTAGTGCTAATTTAGGCCAGATGAGGCTGCAGCTGGTTACTGCTTCACGCGACGCACTTCGCTTCATCAGGATGACCAGCCACCTTTTAAAAATCATACAATCTAATGCCACAAGGGACCACCTTACAGCTCTGCACATGATGAAAAAATCTGTTTCAAATGTTTGGACATTTAGAGCTCTAGGCACAGTTTAATCAAAAACACACAGTGCTTTATAGGAAAGATGTTACCCAATGACAGAGGGATGTTGAGGCAATACTCAAGGTCTAAGAATCTTGATTTGGAAGAAAATTTATATTTTTTTTCTTTTTGCAAAGAAATATTTAATACAGTGGAAAAGGTTTGTATAGGTGTAGGACGATTAGGACGATTCTAAGGGCCGTTGACTTAGGAGGGCCCTAACAGAAGAAGAACAGATGTCCCATTAGTTATTTCAAGTATAAAATGAAAACCCCGGAGTAAAATAAATGACCTGTATGCATCCATCTGTATGTAATTTGCTCAAAAAAAAAGAAATAAAGAAGGGATGATTAGGAGTTTTGACCCCTAAATCATTTTTATTTGCAAAGCAGTTTGAGTTAATGAGCATGAATACTCTTTGATTTTAACTGTTCTTTTCCATC